ACATAAAATGGTAGTCAATTAAAAAACTTCATGGCAAACATAGCCAGTAATATATGGTACTCGTTTTCTATTTCAGATGATAAACCTCCTTGTAAAAAGAAGAGAATGTCAGCCCTGGACCAGCTGTTGGGAGAAGACTTTCAAGTAAGGACGGCATCTAGATCTGTGAGGGACCAGGCCAATGAAGAAGTCAAGAGGTACAGAGAGCGTGATCCTTTGCCCCTGAAAAAAAACCCACTACAGTGGTGGAAAGAGCAACAGGACTTGCCACTGCTGTCATCTATGGCTAAAATGTATCTGTGCATACCGGCCACCAGTGTGGCATCTGAGAGAGTTTTCAGCACTGCAGGAGATATTGTTTCCACAAAACGCAGTCTACTCAAACATGAGCATGTGGATCAGCTGATTTTCCTTAAGAAAAATCTGCCGCAAAAAAAAGATGAGGACAGTGATTATGACGAATAAAAATATAGGTAAACATACAAACATAAGGAAGTGAACTACTTCACTGTGTTTGAGTTCAGATTGAACCTGACGTGAATGTAGAAATGCAGGACATTACTTTTGTTTAGACTACCTCACCAGGTCAGAAAGCTGCAGTTTGATTTCTTTTATACATGTAATCGGCACTTTGACTGTTGATATGTGCTGCTGATTATCCATGCTGCTGATCTGATCTCATGCTGCTGTTTAAATGACATGATGTTATATTAATCTGTGCCCACCTGCTCACACAAACTCATGTTCGTGCTGCTGTTGTTAGGCGTACTGTTCTTGCATTATGTTTTTGTATTATTAAGTTCAAGTTCAAGTTGTGTTTATTTGTCATATGCAAGGTTAACACAATGAAATGTTCAGGATGAGAAGAACCGATTTGACTTGCTAAAAAACAAAAAACAAGCAAACAAGAAATACTAAAGCATGCAATAAGGGTACAAAATAAACTACCAAAAAGTGAAAAAGTAATTATAATATTTACAAAGTTTCTGAAGAGAAAAATGGTAAACAACATTGTAGAATTTTTACAGTGAAGCAGAATGAATTTGTGTGAATAAGTATTTCAAGGTAGTAATGTAATATAAGCTAAAATGCACATGATATATATTGCACATAACTACCAAACTACGCAGGGTATGTGACAGGTTATTGCACAGGTGCTTTGTGCTTACTGTAGCTTATTCCTATTTTTTTTTTTTTTTTTTTTATTACATGCTGCTGTAATCATTTGTGCATTTTATAATTTTTCTTTATTTTCTCATTTTATACTGATCCCATCAAACAAAGAAATATTCTTTTAGCTGGTCTTTTTAGGTCCATGTCTAAAAATAAACACATTTGACATGTGATTCTGTTGTTTGGCTTTTTACTTTATTTTTGCCAGTGCCTTACTGCACGCTTTTAGATATGATATATGTAAACTTTTACAAATTTAAAAATAATGTAAGAATGTCACATTTATAGAAATGGCCCTTTTTGTTCATAATTAATATTTGTCTACATTCAACAAATGTTAAACTGTAGAATTATATAAAGTTGAATCGAATCGAACCGAATCGCTCTTCCACTGTATCGAATCGAATCAAATCGTTCTGTTTTTAAAATAAATCGTTTTTGAATCGAATCGTAACCTTTGTATCTAGATGCGAATCGAATCGTCTATCACACAGAGATGTACAACCCTAATGTGGTCCTGTTAGTGTCATTGTGCCATGATCTTCAGCTCTCACTG